ATTTCTTCGCTTTTTCTTCTTGTGGATGAGTACTTCTTAAGACCGAAACAGAGAACACGTGCATACATATAACATATATATATATATATACATATATATATATATATACATATATATATATACATGTATGTATATATATACATATATATATATATATATGTATATACACATATGTATATAAATAAACGCATATTCTGTCGCTGACAGCCGGCGGACGATGCGCATTGGTGAGTTGTACTCCCGAAAAAGTAAACGACTACTTGGGCGACCCAGAAGAGGTGGCGCACATACACAGAACAGGCGGTGAGTGCCAACTGGAGGTGTGTAGTCCGGGATCGAAGCGCCCGAAACAGCTGCAATCGGCGTGTGGGAGCATCCTAGCAACACCACTAACTGGGCAGTCCTACACTGATAGTCCTAACGGTCTTGGTATTTTTGGTACAATGTACCAAAAAAAAGCATACACATTTTTTTGATACATTCGTACATACAAAACATGTTAAGTACCGAAATTTCAAATAAAAAAACCTTTCAGCATTTCCTACAGCTGCATCAGCATTTTCAAGCAGTGAAGGAGACGGTGTTTCTTTTTCCTCCGTTCCGCTTTCCGAGGCCTGCAAACAGTCGCATGCTGTTATTTCTGATATATCAATCAAAAATTTCAGCAGTCAGTGTTTTGCTGAACAAAAAAATTAACTACGCATTTTGGGCGTTGTGACTTCGCAACTAAGCAGTTAGAGTGCTGAAATTTTTTGATCTTGTTTATTGAAAATCCCTGTGATAATTTGTGACACGTGATGGCCATTCTCAACTTAAAAACAAGAATCTGTGCCCAAAATAATGCAAGAAACGCATACTCGCACTCTCACCTGCACAGCTGATGACTGGATGGCACTAGGTCATACTGCTGGGAGGCTCGACGAAGCATGTCTGAGAAGCAGCTTATGGTAAATACAAATGAACGTTACTGCAGAACAACTTACAGCTAAAAGACAGGATCAAAAGAATTCTGAAATAATGCACTGTGATTTTGTTGAGTTTCTATCAAAACCTCCACACGAATCACAAAGGCTACGTATACCCCGAATCCAAGCATTTGGCTATTTTGAGCCCTTGCGATATATACTTGGGTCAGACGCAACTGATAATGCGCAGATGGCAACTTTTTCAGTTATTCTGACCAACAACACTCCCCCCAGTGGTCAGTCTACTAACGATCTTGACGTGCATTTTGTCTTCTTCAGTGACATAAAAACCCCAAACGGGCGAGGAAGCAGGATGACGAATGAGAGAAGTCTCAGCAAGCAGTGGTGCAGCTTAACCGGCGGCGCGCAAGGGTTCTGCGATGGCCGACCAAGAGGCAAGAGGTCAACAACGGCACATCCGAGAGAAATGAGCGAGAAAATGCGCCACCAACCAGCTCATCTCTGACGCTCATCGAACTCTCCGCTGTGGTCGTCTTATCGTCGTCCGCACTTACTGCCACGTCAACGCTACGCACCGGCTGCTTCAGAGCGAACAGCGTTTCGATGCGTACGCGCAACTGATCCAACTTGTCGGATAGCTGTGCGACGCTGTCCTGAAATGAGCAGTGCTGGTTAGCAGCAGCAGCAGCAGCAGCGGAACGGAGCGAGCGTGGCCAGTGCCCGGAGAGTTAGGCCAAATGGTGCACCTTAATGTCTGCGTGCAGCTGTCGACATGACGCACAGCCCATGCCTGCTGTTAACGGGAGCGGCGAGGAAACGACCATTGTCATCCTGCTGCTGCTGCTCCTGCTCCTGCACACACCGCTGCTGCGCGATCCGGCACGTTTCAACTGAGATCGATGACTGTGCCTTCAAATAACAACGTCATTTTAAAGTCTTGAAACAACGAGAATTATGATAAGGAGCCAGGCGCGTCTTGATCAAGCCGGCTGAGCAACCAGCGCAACGGGTGGTGAGCCGAGCCGAACCGACATGAGGCCGTACAGAGACACACACACACACATACACACAAATACACATACATATATATACACACAACACAACCGTTACAAACGTAAGTCGTCCTTCCATTTTCCACAAAGCGCTTGCTGCTTGCACAGCCATAGAGCCAACAAAAGCAGCCGGACCTCCCACCCTGCATTACGCGGTCTCTCCGCGTCCATTCTACTCCACTGATCGTCCGGATGCGTACGGCTCTGCCCCAACAGTAAGAAGGACCGGAGGCAGTGAGTACATTTCTGCTTTCTTTTCGGCCGAAAGGAAGAAGTAGATGGAGCTTCGGTGCAAGTCCGGATAGCCAGGCAGCCGCCAGCTGGAAGCAGGGGCGTACGCGGATCGCCAGCACTGTAGCAGTGGAGAAGTTGGAACGAGACGCACGCTTCTGTTCAGCTCCTCGAGGGGTCTGTGCGAGCGAGAGAACGAGCAGCACGACTAACTCCAGCCACAACCGACGCCGGGAAGCTGATCCGCATTGAGTAGTCGGAGGCACAGCTCGGGCGGCGGCGGCGGCAGCAGCAGCAACCCTCTTGCAAAACCAGTTATATTAGCACGGTCACTCAGTGGGGGAAGCAGGAGGATGTCGCTAGGTTAGCCACCTCAGCCGCACGCTCCCTTGTCGCTGAACTCCTGACAGCAGCACCTCACCGCAACACTATCATCATCAACACTTGTCAGACGCATACAAGGGTCAAACATACACATATGTCATCAGTGATGGACACGCCTCTCAAACCACAGAGGTCATCTCTCACCTGGCTGTGTCGCCTACCCTCGCCTCCGCCTCAAATTCTTGCATTATCACCTCGCCCGTCCGCCCTCCTCGATCAAGCCGATCCCCTGACCCCGCTTGAAGCAATAATACTACAGAGCAGCATGCAAGCCCGGAACAATCGTACGCACTGCACTCTTTTAAGCGCAATAATTAGCTGGATCAGTGTACGATTCCCCCACGTGAAATAGCACGGCTCTTGAAGGCTTCAAGAGCGGTAAATCCGAGCGGCACGATCAGATCGCCGATTTGGGACGACTGGAGCGGCACGATCAAATGAGCAAGTCAAAATCCGAGAGAGCTGTACGCGCGCAACGAACAAACAACTGGTGCGAACAAATACGATAAATGTGTGGATAATGTTGAGTACGAGAGGAGCAGTTAGCATGGATGCACATTCTGGAAAGCTCCAAATCAATGGTGGGGCTGATAGACGCAGTGAAGTCTGCACGCATTTCGGATAGAGCGCCAGGAACTGATCCATCCGCACCTGCTGCCACTGATTAGCTCCACTGCCCTGCCAAGCTACTCTTTTGGGAAACCGTTGCTGTACCATCAAGGCGAACGACTTCGCGCTTCCAGTCAACCGCACTTCCATCCCAGCACCGAAAGCACCCGGCCAACGAAAGTTCAAGTAAAAAAGGCCATAGTAAATGCAGTGGCATGCCAGGCGGTGTTTCGCAGTAAGCTGTTGCGAGTGCTCAGCGAATAACACACCAGAACATCCATGATCTTTCAAATGGTGAAACATGTGAGCACAAAAATCTGTGGCCTACAACTTCCACCCCACCTCCCCCCTCCCTCTCCTTTCCTAGACCCAGCACATTTCGTTTCTTCATGTAACCCTAAGCGATAGACTAGAACCCTGAGCTTGTCTCTGCTTCAATTACGAAATTAGCAAGATTTCGAACCCTAGATCGCAAGTCCTGTCTGTCGTAAAGTGAGCTTTAAAGGCCAGCTTCACGCTACTTCTCACACATCCTAAAGTGAATTAAACCGTGTAAATTTCAAAATCTATAACAATGTAGAACAAAATGAAAAACAACTTCGTCAAAGTGGGAAGAGGGAAATGGTCACTTTCAAAGTTCTCTAGCTAACACATTTCTGGAGTTGAAATACATGGACGCGTACATGCGCAAACAATCAGAGACATCGGCTCATCGTGTTGCATTTTTGGAACAGCTCACTCAGGCAAAAATGCATAAAAAATTGACATGGCAGCAGTTCGCTGGGTAGACACTGTTCTAGCGCCCGTCCCCGGACCGACAATGCGTCTTCTAACTTTTAGTACCTCCGATCAAAACGCCGCTTTAACCATTAATCATTGGAGTCAGCTTCACTCTTTTTTCGGCGTAGTAATTACGCCACGCAGCAACTCTGACGTTCAAAAAGAAATCGGACGTTTAACACACACACATATATGTTGTATGTACATATAAAATTTATACTTATGCATATAACTGTGAATTAGCGTATACACAAATACATATTATATACACATATATATATATATATATATAT